TAAAGTTCAAATTTTGAGCTGTACAAGCTGTATAATCCATTAGAACCAGATGAAGATTCAAACATAATGCCTGCTCCCCAAAACCTGGTGTCCTGGTGCTCCCCCAAAATGAAAACATCGAGAGAAAAAAAGAATAAGAAAACAAAATTAGTGATTCTAACTAAATTCCTAGATAATATCGACACATATCTAGAACCATCAAAAAAATTCTTCACCAATCAAAAAACACAAGAGGAAAAAAAATCGAATCGATCATAAGATTCTGAAACCTAATCACACTTTACAACGGTAAACCCACTCATTTCGGAACAGCTTTTGGTACAATTTCAGTGATTGACTTAACATTTTAARCTCCTTCACTTGCTCATCACCTTGCATGGTTGCATGAGATACCTTATCACATGCATTTGGAAGCGATCATTTGCCCATAATCTCTAAATTATTAACGTATAGAAATATAGAATGAAGATTTTCAAATAGGCAAACCAAAATGGAAATTAATCTCTGCTGATTGGAATCTATTCTCATCCTTATTCCTTCTTAGAACAAAAAATGAATACACTTGAAACCGAAAATCCAAAATTTTGGGACGATCAGCTGCTGGGTTGTTAGGTTAGATTCGGCGATAACATTATTTTCACTGCWCGGTGCCGAGCATCTGCATCATCTGTTTTCGATCATCAGCGACGGCTGGTAGTTAATGTTAAATGTAACAAAATACATGATTGTAATATTAAAGTATATAYTATTTTATGTTAATTTAAAAACATAGACTATTAGACTTAGATAAAAGAGAACTAACCTAACCTAGGGGGGCTGAACCACTAATTGGGGTGACTATAGTCCCCTCTCATATTACACCCATGACGCCAGATACAAACTGATGCTCCCCAACAATCTGTGTGAAATACTTTCACCAAATGAAGAGAGAGCATCATCCTTGTTACTTGTTAGAATTCCTCAAAGAATTCCACCAACCTTCTGCAYAAAATATAATAGCATTAGCAAAACGCCAAAACTTAGAATATCACACAAAATGTAAACATAGGTATTTCTCTTAAAACTTATTGTATCAATTCTTAACCTATTTACAATATATTATATTATACAAATTAAGTAAGCTATACTATGTATTTTGAAACGCCAATAACTCCGRTAGTTGAGGGGTATTTGTTAAATAAAAAAAATAAACTTTTAAGTGAATAAGTGAATGTTTCAAATTAGTTTATACATTTTTTTTTATCTTTGATGAGATGAAAAGATCTACACCAATTGCGCTTTAAATGTATAGGAGGATTACTAGAAATAACATTTATTGAAAGAGTTTTGATTAGGAGATTGAAATGAAACGTTTTAAAAATTTATAAAACAGCCTAGAATTATGATTATGAAATATGATTATCGACGATGATCATCGCTTCTATCATGCTGCCGAGTTCAGTGCTTGTACTCTATATCCCGTATTACCCATAGCCCCCATAGGCCATAGTATACATTTTAATACAGTCATACAGATTGTATGATCAAATATATTTTTGTTTGTTCTAATAATAAGAAAAAAATACTAGTCGTACGAATTTTAAATTTGATACGAAAATTTTTTTAGAAGAATTACCTACCTACWGAATAATTTACGATTGAAAGGGGTGTTCTTATTTAAAAATATGGTCTTTAAGTATATTTAAAAATTCCAAAAACAAATTTTGAATTACTTCATTATGGAAAAAATAAAGGGTATGATCGTACTTAGTGAATCACTCTGTATAGTAATAAATAATATGATGTTATCACATAAATAAAAAATAATATTATGGTCAAAGAATTCTGTGATAACATGATATATGGCATTATTGGCATAATGAATTAATGAGTCATAACTCATTACTTGAAACTTGAGTGTCCGATAGTTTAAATAATTTAATAATTTATTAGTTATTACTTTAAGTCTGTAGTCACTTTACAATTCTATAATCTGTTCAACATTCTCTTAACTTTTAACTACAATTAATACACATTGACTAAAATTATAATTTATACTTAATAATGATGTATGTGCCTTGTACACCATGATAAAATATAATGCATTAATGCACGCAATACAGTACAATTTTGAATTTATTCACAATTTTACATCTTGACTGTTTGTTGATCGTTTGACTGTAGTCCACTTAAAATGTTATCGGGATTGGAATTTAAGCATAATATTAAGTATTGAATCATTTTATTGTCAGAATTGTAATTATATGACAGCTAAAAATTACTAGAAATTTTGAGTAAATACCAACATTACAATGTCAATATTGACTATTGTGTATAATATTGTCAAAAGTGTACGTTTTTATTGTGTATAATTTACAGTAGGTATATTGTGTTCCTACCTTTAATAACAGTGATAAAAAATCACCCATGAAATTGGTTGCCGATAATCAGTTTGTTTAGTAGCGGTTGAAAAATTAATTTGATGGTATTGTGTACAGAGTTATAGAATCTTTTTAGGTGTCATCATTATTCATTACAAGTAAGAAACCTCCCTGAACTTAATTATTTACTGTATGTGTTTACTGTTTATTGCTATTTGCATACAAAACAATAATTATTCACTWAAACAATTGTAACTTGTAGCTATTTATGCATGTTGGGAAATTTTTTTGTTTTATAGATTGGCATGGATCTAAACCAGTCCCAAAACGTCTACTATGATTATTTGTACACAATAAATCCAATTGCAGAACGCATACGCAAAGATGTTGACGCTACCAAGGATGCGTATCAATCGTTGTGGCTTGAGCTAACTGTTGATGAACAAAACAAGATACTGGAAGAATCAATTATCAGTCCAGAAACTGTATTGAAGTACTCAAAATACAAAAAATCTGATGTAAGTTGTTTTATTTACCATTGGGTTTCTTCCTCATCACGTCATTCATGCTACTTTATTCTGTTTTTATCTTATTTGCTTATTGTAATATTGTGTACAGATTGTAAATTGTCTTTCTTAATAAAAAAAAAAAGTTGTTTTATGGCTTAATGTCAACTATTCATAAGTGTAAAATTTGCACCATTACCTATAATGACCAAACTAGTAAAAGTCTCTGGTTGATCCAGGTTAAAATCATATTCTTTGATGAAGATTTAATTTTCCCCTGTAAAATCATACATTATTATGTATATTTTTATAGAAGTTAAATATACTGTGCCCATAATTCAATATTTGGTAACTGCAGCTGCCTGAAAAAGTTCAGAGGCAGCATAATATGGGTGATTAGGTTAGACAGATAGCATTGTGGGATATCATAATAAAAATTTTCTTWTACCATTATTACATTTCAATTGTGAGGGAATTTTTTTACAAGAATCAGACATTTTGTTTTTCAGAAAAAAACTTCTGAAGGTGGATTTTCTTGGTTTACTAGAAGTCAGTTGGATCTGTGCAAACATATTGATAGTGTCCGAGAGAACTTCACTGCTAATGAATGTAAAGCTACAGTTGTGAAACGAACAGTAACCAAAGAACCGCAAGACAACAAACTCATCAGTAAAATCAAATCAAATGTTTTATTCAAATCACTAATGCCAACTGAAGACAAAAACAAAGGTGTAAAAAGTGATAGGACAAAGCCTAAATGCCCTCCTCCGCCACCACCACCATCACAAGTCATAAATCCTAAGCAAACAATTCAAGATTCAATATACAATAATCTTAATGATGATGATGATGATGATGATATCCCAAAGACAGGATTTGATTTTTTAGATAATTGGTAACAATTTACTGTATATATATATAAGCACAATACAAAGGAATAAAAAATTGCCAAACAATTTCGTAATAATTTTATAGAATTTAAAAAATATTTTTAAGATTTGAGTTGTTGATCTATTTAAACAGCTGGTTACTATTAGAATTTTTTATATATATAGACAATTCTATWGTATACTATTCATTAATTTAATAATAATTTATTAAATAACAYATAGTTAAGAATCAAGATTCAACAGAGCTAAAATATTATACCTACATCAAATTTTGATCTGTATAATACTATTATATTAATCTGCTTTATTGTTGTTTAATTCCAAAAATACTCTTCCATGTGAAAACGTGTATTATTCATGTACATAATTATTTATTGTTACCTATTAGTTTTTAAATGCATTTCACATAAAACTATTTTAATCACATAAGCATGTATTATTGCAATAATTAAATTTGTAGTACAATTTGTGACTACATTAATTTCTTACATAGTTATATGTATTACAAATCAATTATTTTTATCAACATCAAATATTTMTATTTGGCCATTTAAATATGTTACCATTGTCTACTGATAATTATTATTATTAATAACAATGTATAATAAATTCTGCTTATTTCATTTTTTTTTTTTTAAGTTAAGTTAATAAAGAGTCCCATAACATTGTGCGTATTCATTTCAAAAGATTATCTTGAATCAAAAACTTTTTTTAGAAATCTGAAATATATTGTAGTAAACATATTCTTTGCGTAAATTMTATCATTGGAAAAGATGTTTCAATACCCAAACAGTGGTAGTGCCAGGATTTTTTTTGATTATGGCCATAACGGTAAAAAATTACAAGATTGGACAAAGCAATAATGTGATGTTTGCCTGTACAAAAAATGAACAGTATGATCTGCAATTACAATTATTTTGATTTAATGAATAATTGTTTTTCATCTCTGGCA